TTTTTTAGAAAATGACCGATCGTTTCGCTAGATAAGACCCTTATTCCTCGTCTGGTATCGTGTGAGCCCTTTAAAGCTGCACTGAAACTGTTTGATAGCCGTTGAAGTCCACTATAAGGAGAATAATCCTGGAATGTTTTCATCAAAAACCTTAATTTATTTTCGACTGAAATAAGAAAGATGTAAACATCTTGGATGACATGGGGGTGAGTAAATGATCAGGACATTTTAATTTGAAAGTAAACTAATCCTTTAAACTGAGATAGAAAAAAATCTTCAAACCTTTAAAGTATACACTATGCCAGATATGCTTTAATCTCTCTCTCTCTCGCTCTCTCTCTCTCTGTGTATGTGTGTTCTAGGGTAAACTTGGGGAGAAGACCGGATACTTGCCCATAACTTACATCATCAGGGTGCGAGCCAGCGAGAGGGTGTATAAAGTGACACGCTCCTTTGTGGGAAACAGAGAGATGGGCCAGATTACCCTGAAGAAAGATCAGGTCAGTGTGAGTCTGTGTGATGAGATTGAAGGAAGTCAAGTCTTTTAGCAAATCAGTGCACACAGCTGCTTCCTGTTGACTTCTCAGTGCAAGCAGCTTCTCAAATTATATATTGAGGTAAACCAGAGAAATTGCAAAAAAAAAAATAAATAAATAAAAAAGGTGAGAAGGTGAAAAGTTTTTTTATATTTATTTATTTTTTGTTTGCACAAATGGGGTGTTTTGCTACCGTTTTCATTACAGTACTTCAACTGTAAATTTAAACATATAAATGTCAAAACAACAGAGTTCTTTCATGTTATTTGCATATTCTGTTCAAAATGTGGTGAATATAACAGGAAGTGCCGAGGAAGAAGGTTGAAACTAAAGATACAATTTCATAATGTAAAATGCACCAGCTACACTGTAAGACAATCATCATCTTCTCAATGGTGCAGATAAGGGTGGGTGACACCATCCATGAAAAAGTAAACAGGAATACCCCTCACCCCCTGTATGTCCTGTATGAAAAATCTGGTCATCCTAATTAATGTTTGCACATGAGTAAACATGAAGATAAAAGTCAAACTGTGTTTAGAGGCCGTTTATTGACTGATTACTGATTGATTGTTCAGATCTCAGCATCTATAACTGTGTCCTGGTTTGTAGATTGTGGTGAAGAAAGGAGAAGAGGTAAATGGATATCTGAAGGTCAGCACTGGCCGCAAACTGGGCTTCTTCCCTGCTGACCTGCTACAGGAGATTTGAATGACGGATATTTAATCATGAAGAAAATAAGTAAAGCTTAAGAATGGATGGAGAAAGAAGAATAAATAAACAAGAAAGACAACAATATCTGACCTGACAGAAATATGAATACGTGCATGAACACAGGATCTAAATTTAATACTCACCAAGCACTATATATGAATACAAAAGATATTTACTCAGAAAGAAAAAAACTACGTTGGTCACCTGTTGAGCAGTTATTTTATTAGGAACATAATCAATGATTTCACACTGCAAGAATGATGGTGTAATCCTTGCTGATGTGAGCGGCATACAAACCGTTTTCTGAAGAAAATCACAATACTAAATTTTATTTTGGAAAAGTTTGTTTTCTCTAGAACTCATTGTGGCAATACTTACATTGATTACATTTAGCAACCAAAAACAAAATAACTGGTTTTCCCTCAATACACTCATTTGCTGCTTATTAATAGTTAGTAGGGTAGTTGTTAAGTTTAGGCATGGGGTCGGGTTAAAGATCTAGAACTTGGTCATGCAGAATAAGGCATTGATATGTGCCTAATAAGTACTAATATCCAATAGCCACTAACAGCCAATATGCTAGTAATATTAATGCTAATAAGCAACTAGTTAATTGTGAAAATTGGACCTTAAAATGAAGTGTCATCGAAATGGTTTACTGAGGTGTGAAATAACTTGAGTGCTGAACTCCACTGATCACATTTGAGCCATCCTGGAACAGAAAATGACACTCCTCAAACTAAAACGGCAAAAATAAAGGCACACATTTCTCTGGAATTTCACTATGTGATATACCATTGGAATGGATGGAATAACCAACCCTCTCAATTAATTTCTTTCATTGCTATGAAGGTCTGGATGAAGTTGGCATAATGGGTGAAACTGCTTATAGCACCTTTAAGGTCCCACTAAAGCCCAAATGGGATCATTAATTAAAATTCTGTGAATATACCTGGCTTAAAGGGTTAGTTCATCCAAAAATGAAAATTAGGCTGCGTTTTACTCACCCCCGATGCATCCTAGGTGTATATGACTTTCTTCTTTCAGACGAATCCAGTCGGAGTTATATTAAAAATTGTCTTTGATCTTTCAAGCTCTATCATTGCCCTCAGCGGGTGTTGCAGTGCTTTGGTTCAAAAGACGTGAAATAAAAAGCACCTTTCCATAAAAAAAAGTGTCTCACACGGCTCCGGGGGGTGAACAAAGGCCTCCTGTAGCGAATCGATGCGTTTTTGTAAGAAAAATATCCATATTCAAAACGTAATAATCACTTGAATCTAGCTTGCGCTCACTGTTGTAAACGGAAGCAGTTCCGGGGGAATGACGTATGAGGTCAGCGTAATTGGTCAAATAATAGGTATGTCATGTTCAGTTTGTGAACCAATGTTTTTGGGGTGTGTATCAAGGAGGTGTACAGTACAGTGTCTATTCATTAGCATTCCAGGTGGATGCTGCACACTGGTGGTGGATGAGGAGATACCCCCTGACAATGTAAAGCGCTTTGAGTGCCTAGAAAAGCGCTATATAAATGTAATGAATTATTATTATTATTCCCATTCATCTCAATGACAGGCGCTGAACTGGACACAATCATAAATGTCATGTGATTTATCAATACTATAATTATTAGACACGTTGATATTCTGATGATTTTTTTTTTCCAAGCACATTTGATTAATTCCAAACCACATCAATCTTAATAAATACTATTACTTTTGTATTTAATCATTTATAAGTGATATATAATTGTCCATGAAGGCTGGAAGTGAAAAACTCCTTATATTCAGGTGTTCAAAATTATTAGGCATGTTTTCTTCTACAGATAAAATGAGCCAAAAAATAGGTTTAACTCAGACTGAAAAGTCAAAAATTATTAAATCCCCATGAGAAATATTCAAAAGTCATGCAATACAGAATTTGCAAAGTTAAGACATGACCACTGGACAGCAAAATGCTCACTGGGTCAGCGGGGTCAGAAAAAAAAGGTGGAGAAGAAAAGACACTGCAAAAGATTTAAGAATTAATGTGAAGAAAAACCATCAGTAAACATTTAGTCTCCAGCGCCGCCATTTTCCAGAACTGCAACCTTCCTGGAGTCTCCAGAATTACAAGGTGTCAGGTTCTCAGAGACTTTGCATGGGTAAAAAATCCTTAAAAAAATACCCTCACTTAATAAGAATAACATGCTGAAGTATTGTGAAATACATTAAGACAAATTTTTTATAGTCTTTATCGACAGATAAGTTTTGAGTGACTCTTGAAGGACCAGCACCACATCCTCTTGTACCACTGTTTGAAGAATTTATCTTCCAGAATCTGGCAGTAAGTTTTAACTTTAACTTTAAACGTAGGCAGATCGCTGTGCTGTTCAGACTACTTGACTTGATTGTCTGTCTTTAAGTTGTTGTGGTGTTCACACTACGTGACTCTATGTAAATGATCCACAACCGGGGGTTACACACTACACAAGCTGACAACAACTCTGTCACCCAACGACTCTACAAACCACGTTTTGTCACGAAAACACACACGAGAATTGGAACGGGAATGACGCGAAACAACACGTGAAATAGGAGTTGTTTATTTGAAAATGGATGTCAGGAAGAAATTAGCGCTGCAAGCTATTTGCTGGATGAAACATTTTGCTACATTTATTGTGTCCAAACTTTTATTTAAGCCATGTTGCTGCTGTTGTTTTTCTTCCGGTGACCTCAACCCATGCCTTGCTCTCTCATTGGTTGTAGCTTGTCACAACACCTGACACGAGGTGATGTCGAGTCGGCCGACCGGTCCAGATATTTGGCATGCTAGATATTTGTTTGCCATCGGCGACGTGTCAGTGAGCCTCTTTGATGCGTCGTTGTGTAGTTCACACATAAAGATTGCCGAGCGCCAATCACCCGCTGATTTTCCCCCGATCACAGCGATAACGAGCTTCACATGTCGGCGAGCTCGTTAACTTGCAAATCGGCTTAAATCGGGCTTAAAATCCTGTAGTCTGAATTTAGCATTAGGAGCTCATTTTTATTCCACCCCATATCCTGAAAAGTCTGTCTTGCAGAATTGACTTAAAATGAGGGAGAACAGGTGGAGCAACTGAAGGGGTTGGGGGGTCAATGATGTTCAGGGGGCCTGGAAACCATAGCGGCGCCCCTGGACATAGGAGCATGGGACAAAAGACAAGAGCGCACAGTGAGGAAACAAACACTCAACACATGTGAACGAATGCTCACAATGAAAACAACATATGGACGAGAGAGCGCATGGCCTGAGTAAACTCGAACCGCATGCTCACACAAAGAAAAGAAGATACACGAGTGTCAGGGCTCTGTCACATAACCAAGAATAAACCAGACCAAAGTGAAAGAACCCTGACACTACCACCCCAACGAGGATGCCCCCTGGCTTTCCCAACAAGGAACACCAAACACAAGACCGACACACACCATCAAAACACAAAATGACAAACAACATGCTGAAGCAGACTTGAGAGGCTCTAGGGTCATATTGGACTCTGAAGTGGGCTCCCGGGCCGGAGTGGACTCTGAGGCCTCCCGGACTGGATCGGGCTCTGGAGTGGACTCTAAGGTCTCCCGGACTGGTGCAGACTCTGAAGCAGCCCAGGCATGCAGAACAGTCATGAGGTGAAAGGTGAAGTTGGCCTTCCTGACTATGGCAGCAGCGGTGAAATCAGGCGGCTCTGTGGAGGCCTTTATGGCAGAGACAGGAAGAGTGGTCTGCTTAGTGACAGCAGCAGTGAGAGCGGGCTGTTCTTAACGTTCTGTAGCGATTACAGGCCCCTCAGAGAAAGCTGTAGAACCAGATGAAGCAGGTACAAGTATAAACCATAGTGACGTACATACAACAAGTACTCCGATATACTTAAAAGTATATGGGTTATATATTGGTTTTACTTCAGGTTCACAATGAAGATACGTAGAAGGATAACAAGTTAGTAATGTGGAGATCCCTGGAGTAATCTTGGAAAGCACAGGAAGGAGATATAGGAGATGCCGAAGAAAGAATGAGATGCAACACAGGAACCAAGGTTCAGGTGAGTATGAAAGATTTGAGTCTGTGTCCTTGTTCAAGGCCAGTTGAGGAGTGAAGAGAGGTGTGTGCTTTTATGTGGTGGTTGATGAGCTGAGTTGATGAGTGACAGTAGTCTGGCCAAAAAACCCGGGCCGTTGGCCCTGAGGAAGCACTGACGAGGCACGATCAAGCCCCGGAAATGACAGTGGAAACGCGACTGGCCCTGGCACGCCCGCTTTTGGCCCAACAGTGGAAACGCGGCTAATGAGTGGTGGTGCTGGGAGAGCCTGGTGAGCCTGTGACAGTCTTAGTCTCCTGTGATTCCCTTTTTAACTCCAGTGTTGTGTCCACATGTCCCTGTGATCCCTCCATCTTGTCCCTGTGAAAGTACGGAAGATACTCCCTGGCCTACTTATCAGCAGCCTACTTGTCATTTGCATTTCTTTGCTATTGTTTTGTTTCTTATAAATTGGTTAATCTGTATAAAATGTCAGGAAAGAGCATGGAATTATGTCGTGTGAATGTGAGGGGTAAAGCTGAAATAATATCCGGGTTCACTCTCTTTCACTGGATCTCATGGTGATTAGAGGTATATTTTCATCAGCTCCTTAAACACTGTTAATTACTTATTTACAGGCTTTCAATGTTAAATGTTTGTTTGTCAATTTTTTTAGAGGTGTCTGATAATAATAATGTTGTGTTTTGATACAGAACCTGATATTGTAAATAAATCACACAGCAGCCTCATCATTGTGTGGGACATATTCATTTCTGACCAAACACAATGCAGAAGTAAACCCGCTACACTATGAAGGGACAACATTTTTCATTTGAGAAAAAGCTGGATATTAAATTTACAGGTGATCTTAGTGGATGAAAGCGATAATTTTTTTAATCTATGCTTGTAAGAGCTTAAAGACTATAGTTGATCATCTGATGCAAAACCCCGAATTATAGCACTATTTTTACGTATTAACATCACAATACAGTACCAATCTACATTTGATTATTTAAAAGTAAATAAGTACAAAACATCTACAAAATGGCAAATCTTGTGGGGTGTCCTAGTATGCAGTGGTTAGTACCTACTGAAAGTGGTGCAAGGAAGGGCAACAGGTGAACCAACATCAGAGTCACAGGCACCCAAGGCTCACTGATGCATTGGGTCCTGGGATTGATGTGGATGTTACTTTGACATGTACCTCCTACCTAAAGATTGTTGCAGACCACATACACCCTTCATGGCAGTGGTGTTCCCTGATGGCAGCGGCCTCTTTCAGCAGAATAATGCACCCTGACACACTGCAAAAACTGTTCAGTAATAGTTTGAGAAACATGACAAAGTGTTCAAGGTGTTGCCTTGGGCACCAAATTCCCCAGATCTCAATTTGATTGAGCATCTATGGAATCAGTCACACTTTAAAATACATTTTAGGTTTTCTATAGTAAACTTACAAATTCACACTCCGTATTTTTACGATGGTTACACAGAGCAGCCAAAAGTGTGTACGGTTGTCATGGCAACCAGAT